TCTGGCGCTGCAGCGGCGAGAGCGACGCGTGAGGAGGGGGCCCCGAAACTCGAGGGGGGTCCCCGAGTTTTGGGGAGGGGGTTTGAGGGCTGGGGAGGGGGTTACGCGGGACAGCAGATTTGGGGGATCACGGGTTCTGGGGTGACCCCGTTCCCTCTGCCTCCAGGGGTTGGGGGTCCCTCGGTTTTTGGGGGAGTCCAAAGCCCCTCTCCCCGGGGCTTGGGGGTCCCTCGGTTTTTGGGGGTGAGCCCAAAGCCCCTCTCCCCGGGGGTTTCAGGGGGAGCCCAAAGCCCCTCTCCCCAGGGGTTGGGGTCCCCCGGCTTTTGGGGGGGAGCCCAAAGCCCCTCTCCCCGGGGATTTTGGGGGTGAGCCCAAAGCCCCTCTCCCCGGGGGTTGGGGGTCCCTCGGTTTTTGTGGGGGAGCCCAAAGCCCCTCTCCCCGGGGGTTGGGGTCTCCCAGTTTTTGGGGGGGAGCCCAAAGCCCCTCTCCCCGGGGGTTGGGGTCTCCCGGTTTTTGGGGGGGAGCCCAAAGCCCCTCTCCCCGGGGGTTGGGGTCTCCCAGGTTTTGGGGGGGAGCCCAAAGCCCCTCTCCCCGGGGGTTGGGGTCTCCCAGGTTTCGGGGTGAGCCCAAAGCCCCTCTCCCCAGGGGTTGGGGGTCCCCCCGGGTTTCGGGGGGAGCCCAAAGCCCCTCTCCCCGGGGGTTGGGGGTCCCTCGGTTTTTGGGGGAGCCCAAAGCCCCTCTCCCCGGGGGTTGGGGTCTCCCAGTTTTTGGGGGGAGCCCAAAGCCCCTCTCCCCGGGGGTTGGGGGTCCCGCCGGGTTTCAGGGGGAGCCCAAAGCCCCTCTCCCCGGGGGTTTTGGGGGGGAGCCCAAAGCCCCTCTCCCCAGGGACTGGGGGTCTCCCAGGTTTCGGGGGGAGCCCAAAGCCCCTCTCCCCGGGGATTGGGGTCCCACCGGGTTTCGGGGGGAGCCCAAAGCCCCTCTCCCTGGGGGTTGGGGGTTCCCTCGGTTTTTGGGGGGAGCCCAAAGCCCCTCTCCCCGGGGGTTGGGGGTCTCCCGGGTTTCGGGGGAGCCCAAAGCCCCTCTCCCCGGGGATTGGGGGTCTCCCAGGTTTCGGGGGGAGCCCAAAGCCCCTCTCCCCGGGGATTGGGGTCTCCCGGGTTTCGGGGGGAGCCCAAAGCCCCTCTCCCCGGGGATTGGGGGTCTCCCAGGTTTCGGGGGGAGCCCAAAGCCCCTCTCCCCGGGGGTTGGGGTCTCCCAGGTTTTGGGGGGGAGCCCAAAGCCCCTCTCCCCGGGGGTTGGGGTCTCCCGGTTTTTGGGGGGGAGCCCAAAGCCCCTCTCCCCGGGGATTGGGGTCTCCCGGGTTTCGGGGAGAGCCCAAAGCCCCTCTCCCCGGGGATTGGGGGTCTCCCAGGTTTCAGGGGGAGCCCAAAGCCCCTCTCCCCGGGGGTTGGGGGTCTCCCAGGTTTCGGGGGGAGCCCAAAGCCCCTCTCCCCGGGGGTTGGGGGTCTCCCGGGTTTCGGGGTGACCCCTCTGCGCCCCCAGGCAGGAGGAGGCCGAGCGGCGCCTGCCCCGGCGGCGGCTGCTGCTGCTGGCNGAATTGTCCCCAAATTGTCCCGAAAATAGCCTGAAATTACCCCAAAATTATCCCAAAAACAGACGGGAATTGTCCCGAAAATAGCCTGAAATTGTTCCGGAAACACCCAGGAATTGTCCTGAAATTATCCTGAAAATATCCCAAAATTATCTTGAAAACAGCCTGAAATTATCCTGAAATTATCCCGAAAACAGCCTGAAATTATCCTGAAAATATCCCAAAAATAGCCTGAAATTGTCCCGAAATTATCCCGAAAACAGTCTGAAATTGTCCTGAAATTATCCTGAAAATAGCCTGAAATCCTGAAAATATCCCAAAATAGCCTGAAATTATCCGTAAATTATCCAGAAAATGTCCCAAAAAATATCCTGAAATTATCCTGAAAATATCCTGAAACTATCCAGGAGATGTCCCGAAAATAGCCTGAAATTATCCTGAAAATGTCCCGAAAATATCCAGAAAATGTCCCGAAAACAGCCTGAAATTGTCCTGAAAATGTCCCGAAAGTATTCTGAAAACAGCCTGAAATTATCCCAAAAATATCCTGAAATTATCCCCAATTATCCTGAAAGTGTCCCAAAAATATCCCAAAATTATCCTGAAAATATTCCCAAATATCCTGAAAACCTCCTGAAAATAATCTTGAAAATAATCCTGAAGTTATCCTGAAATTATCCTGAAAATAGTCTGGAACTATCCTGAAAATACCCCAAAAAAATCCTGATAATATCCCCAAAAAATCCTGGAAATATCCCAAAAAAAAATCCTGAAAATACCCCCAAAAAAATCCTAAAAAAATCCCGAAAATATTTTTAAAAATACCCCAAAAAATCCTTAGAACATCCCCAAAAAAATTCCGAAAATACCCCCAAAGAAACCCCCCCAAAAAATTCCCAAATTCCCCCAAAATTCCCCCAAATCCCGCGGTGAGCGCCGCCGCCGCAGCGCCGCCTGCTGGGCGCAGGGCGCCATTGCACCCCCAGCCAGGGGAGACCCCCGAAGTGCCCGGGGGGGTCCAGCCCCCAAAACCCCCA